CCACAAGTGGGGCCCCAAACTCAAGGTGAGGAGAGATTGAGGGAGACCAGCTTTACCTTCATAATTCTCCCAAAGGCAAAGGGGAAAAAGAACTCTTCTAGGAACAGATTTCCTTAGTTCTGCTGGTTTGGTTCTAGATGTGAAGAATGCTGTTTTACTTTTTTGGGCAATCCTACCCACAAGTAAACATTTGGTGAAGTTGGGCACCCCCCCATAGCTGAAAAGATGTCCCGCAATGCCTTCCAATTAAGAGAAGGAGGGTGAAAGTTTTAATTCTGTCGGGGGGAAACTTAATCCTGTTGGAATCCTTCAAAAAAGTCTTCGAAACCCGGGGAGAAGTAACAAATATCTTGGGGCCCACATTAACACGGGAAATAGTCCTCCCATTTTGTACCCCCCCTACAGAATGTCTCGTGTAAAAAGGGAAAAATTGAGAAAGGTGGGACCTTCTCGAAAAAAATAAATTTAAGAAGGAATCTCCTTTGGACTCCTGTTTACTGGTCCCAAAGAAATAACCAGTTTCGCCTGTGTATGACTACCGGAAGTTGAATGAAGTCACGGGCCCGATACTTACCCACTTCCCTGAATGGATGATTAACGCAGGAGGCAAAACATACCCATAAAATTTCCCCAATTGACTTAAAGTCGTTTTCCACCCAAATGAATGTTTAATCCTGCTGATGGGGGAAAAACCGTTTTTGTTTGCCCATTTGGAACCTACCGGTTAAGGATACTTTTGGACTTGGGGTGCACCCCAACCTTTCAGAGACGATGAATTTTTTCCCGAAGGGGTTACCTGTACTTCTTTCCCCTAATGATATTATAATTATGTCCCCTACATTCGACAGCTTTAACGGACTTGAAGGCCGTGTTTAGGCGCAAGGGATTTCAAGTTACGAGAAACGGAAAGTGCCAATTTCCTGCTCCGTTTTAAAAACCGGGGCCTATGGGTTACACCCAAGGAATAAAAGTCGATCTAGAAGATTTGTTTTTTTAAATTCCACCTCCAAAAAATGTAAAAAAACCCCCTCCTTCCTGAAAACCCTTTTTGGACCGAAAATTTATACCCAATTTTCTGGGTTCCCCCCTTGAGAAACCCTAACTAAAAAAAAGGCTTCCGGAAAATGGTCAGGGAAGAGGAGAAAGCATTTCAGACCTTAAAGCAATGTTTGTGTCTCCCCAATTTTGGAACAAGCAGATTTCTCAAAACCCTTTTTCCTGAAAGTATCCAGTAACTATGCTTTGGAGCATCCCCCAAAAAGGAAGACAAAAAGAACATCAGTTAAATTTTTCCCAGCGGTTTTTTAAACCCAGCTAAAAAAAACTACTCGACCACTGAACGAGAAGTTTGCTGTGGTTTGGCCCTCAACAAGTTTAGGGCTACATTGATGGGGTAAGCATCACTGTAGCGTCTGACCCCCAACCCCTTAAAGGTGGCTCGAAACTGAAATCTCCTACGGGAAGACTAGCCCGTTGGGCTCTGCAATTACAATCTTTCAACCTCAACAGGTACATCCCGGAAAAGTAATGTGGTTGCAGAATGTATCTCGGCCTGCGTGTCATGAAGAAAATGAACGTGTGAGGTCTGCACTGTGGCCGTTGATGCCCCTGGTCTCCCAAGGAATCGTGATGAACAAATGAAGGAGGGGAGCTGGTCAAAATTATTTCTTCCTCGAAGACCCACAAGAATTTAATTATGTCATTTGGGTAAAGGGGTTTTTTAAATGAATCGGGGTGTCCTTCAGATATGTGTCAGACTCTAAAATGAAGAGGCCAGTTATGGTACCAGCCATAAAAGAACTTTGATCCTCAAAACCATCATGATGACTAAAGGCTGGTCATTTCCCGAAGACACCCATACTCGAATAGCAAAAATTTTTTGGACTGGCATGAGGAAATACATAACTGATTATTTGAAACTGTCTGCTGCTTTCAAAGTTTCCCCGACAGAACCCTTTCCCGGGCTATTACGACCCTGTGCCAGCCAACGTTTCGAAACCTTGGTCATTGATCTCTTCGGGCCCCCACCCAAAGGGAAAGAGGGTAAAAGATGGATCCCCATCATTGAGGTTTGCCCCAAGTGGGTCAACTGTTTTCCTCCCCAAAGCCACAGCAAAGAATGTGCCATTACCTTGGTTGAAAAAAGGTCCTACTGAGGTATGGCATTCCTCCCATATCAGTGACAATGGAACCCAGTTTGTGTCAGCTGATGCAACAAATAGGGTACATATTAAACATCCATCAATCCTGATCCTGTGTCCCTCAAAACACCCATTGAATGGAAAAAAGGATCTGAAACCATGGGTGGCAATTCTCGTCCAAGACAAGCATGACTGTTGGTCAGAGAAGCTACCCTTTATCCCCCTTTTCTCTCAACACGGCCAAATTAAACGACAGGACAACCGGCAGCCTTTCTGAATTTTGGTAGAAGTTACGCACTCAAGTAAGTTGTTTAATATCCGGGGCGTCATCTGGGAAAGAAATTTTGTCCAAAAATAACTCCCCATCTCAAAAAAATTTTCTGTTTTCACTCAGATTAGAAGGTGGTTGAAGAGCAACAGGATAAATAGGAAGTTTTACGCTGATAAAAGAAAAAACCCCCAAAATATCAACCTGGAGAACATGTCTTTGAGCATCACATCCCTGAGCAACGCTGCGCAAAGGAAGGTCAAAACTAATGCCCGCAGAGACGGTCCCTACTATTTTAACACAAAGGTCACCATCATCTTACGAGATTGCTATCTTGATAATCCGGGGGGAAACCCCTTGGTGTTTACCACACCTCTCTTTAACTCCTTCTAATAATGACAGAGTAAAAACCCCCTTTTTCCTCTTTGTAAACGTGGCCGTCCCCAAAGGTCCCACAGACTCTTGGTTCCCCGTCGGGACCATCGGAACCCGAAAGGGGGGGATTAACAAATGGTTTTATTTTATTTTTTTATGAATAAGGGGCCCCCCAGGGTCCCGGTTCCCCCGGTGGGAAACCGAAAATTTTTGATTAAGACGGTGGATCTTCTGGTGTACGTATCCCGGAAATGCTTCCCCACGTGTTCCTGAATGTTTATATATTTATTCTAGAACTGCATAAATGCCTGTGTACAGTAAATAAACTCTATTTACCCCGGGGTGAATAAATTTCATCTAATGATCTATCCATTCATCCCAGCGTGGTAAAAGCTTTACTTAAAACTACGGTTACTTTTTGGAAAAAAAATCCATCGGGTTTTCCAATTTTTTCAGACATCTTGGCTTAAAAGTTACATAGATTACAATTATAAATTAAGAACTAAAGCTAGGACTTCCGGGAAGACGATCGAAAATATAAAAAAAAAAACTTACTTTTGTATGAAATGTATTTAAAATATCATTTGTGCTTAAATATTCTTAGATAATTTGTTTTTTAAAAGAATATGCTCATATTTATTGATAAAATCAAAGTATTTCAACATAAATTAAACTAATAAGCAATATCAATAAAACTAACGAAAATTAAACATTTAACAAAAAAATAAATTTCATTCCAATTTATTGAAACAAAATTTTAAGAATGAAATCCTGTGTCAAATTTCAAAAATATTTATACAATATCTTTTAAATAAAATCTCAACTCCACCACCACCTTCACATTGAAAACTGAAACGAAAACGGGAGAAAAACAATTCAATTCAGCAACAAGAGGAAAACAACTCGTCCACCCGTTCTGCCTGATCTGCCCTATTCGCCTGCTGTGCTTGCGCGCCTTTTGCCGCAGAATCGGCTTTTATTTCCTACTCATGTAAACCGATGCACTATTCCAAGAGTTTGAAGATAAAGACAAAATTTCTACATTACATGAAACGAATTCGAAATGTACGGTAAGACGGTAAATTTGAGAGAAACAATTGTTGCTGAAATTTGTTCCCTCATTGAAATGTTTCATGCGAAAACGTTTTAGACGGAATATCCAATAACATTAAAAAAAATGCTATCGACAAACTACTATGTATTTTCATGCACTTTTTTTCTCTTTTCACGAAAAGATTTGTCTTCTGGGAATAAACAAAATACGGATTACACGAGCCACGCAGGCGATATTTAAGAGGGATGTGAAATGAAAGAGGTAAAACAACTTTTCGTAAAAGGGAAGTAAGGTTTTAAAAGGTTTGACACGTGCCTTTTTAATTTCTAACTATTTTTAACCCTTTCCCAGCTCTACAAACGAAAAAACATCTCATCTCGAATCAGTTGGCTTTATAATTGGATGACGAATGCATTGCAGTGTGAGTAAAAGTCAGTGAGTTTCATTCACTTTTTGTTTTCTATTTTAAAAGAATTTTTTCTTACGAGCACAATGGCAAAGAGCTCAGTGGAAAGTAAACTGCTATTTCGCTTAAAATGAGGATATAGTTCCTTTATGCTTTGTTCAAATGGTCAAAAACAGTTTTTTTATCAAACTAAAGCATATACAAAATTTCAGCTCAATGGGTTTAAAACATCACTTCAAAATTGAGTTTAAGATTCCCTCCCAACATATTTTACATTGAAAGTTAAATAAAAGCTTGAAAATATAGCATACTTGGTACTATGTGAAAATGGGAAATATTGTGAAATATCTTGTTCTACAAATGAAACAAATGTCAAAAATATTTTACAGAAAAATAATAATTAGGACGGGTTATCCCTCCTCTACCCCTTTTTTAAGGGAGAGCTCAACCATCTGAGCTACTCTCTCGGGCGACGCCCGTTTTATTGTAAACATGCTCGCCGTAACACCTGAGCAGAATCGTTACAGTAACTAGGTGTAAAAGTGTTACGGGAGAAACTAGAATCGAGTAAATAGATATCATAGAATATGTCAAAGTAAATAGAAATAGCTTGATAGATCTGCCTTTCTTAGTGTTCCCTCTACAGCAGTAAAAATATAACATACTTTGTAAGTGTGCTGAGTGGAAGTATTGTAAAATATCCCGTTGTACAAATCAAACGAATTTCAAAAATATTTTACCCGAAAAAATAATAATTCGAGACACGGTGTATTGATCCCCGTACCTCTCGCATGCTAAGCGAGCACTCTACCACCTGAGCTACGCCCACGGTCCCCACCTTTATTATTGTAAACATGCTCGCCTTAACACCTGAACAAGATCGAGCAGTAACTAAGTCAAAATCTGAATCTAAATGGTCGAATCATGCATTGCCATCCAAACTAAACATGTATACAAATTTTCAGCTCAATCGGCTGAAGACATCAGCTTCAAAATTGAGTTGCAAGATTCCACCCGAACAAATTACTTTAATTAATTACTTTTTAACTAATTGCGGTATAAGAATATAATTGGTCAAAACATGCATTGTCAAACATCTTAACTCGTATAAAAAATTTCAGCTCAATCGGTTGAAGACATCAGCTCCAAAATTGAGTTGCAAGATTCCACCCGTACATTTTACATTGCAAGTAAAAAAAAAATGCTTGTAAAAATACTTATACTTAAGCATGCTTCATATCCTTACCAGTGGCTCACACAAGAGGAAGTTGGGCTGGACCTCCCCAAAGCCTATTTTTTTCCGATTGATTATTTTTATGGATATGGTAGTAAAATTTAATTATTTGTTATTAATGATTAATTTTATAATTAATACTGATTAGTTATTTAAATTAATTTTTACTCTTTTGTTCCGAAATGACAAAATCAAAGAAGCTTTATACAAGAATGGTGAACTTTCAACCCCTTGAAAATTTCCTGTGTGTGCTATTATCCTTCTATTCAATATAAGTTGAAAGATTTATGTTTTTATTCTTTCACGCAAAACAACGAATGATTTTAAAAAACTTTACATTTTCTTTCTCAGAATAACACGGGCATAAATTAAGAAGATATTTTTTGGGGGTTCCAAAATAAACGAAAAGTCGTAGAAAAACGCCATCGGGAAACTTTCGGGCTCCTTAAACCGTTAGACAGTTTAAATCACGTTAAAAACGCCCCACAACATAAAAATTATATTTTTAATATAAAAAAATTTTTTTTCCAAAAATAGTAAAAAAAATCAAAAAAATTGATTGCTCCGTTTAGTGTAACAAAGATCTTTACTTCAAAAATAATATTTTACCGTTTTAAAAGTAGAAAAAACGTTCGACTTTAAAACCCCTTTTTCAAATTTGCAAAATTTGTTTCTCAAAGTTTTAAACGCATTTTTTTTAATTAAAGGCAGGTATTGCATTGTTTCCTTTCTAAGGTATGGGGGAAAGCGGGCCCCAAAAGCTCTAAAAAGCCCCGGCTTGGTCAAGACTTAACCCCAAAACTTTCCCAAACTAAACTCGGGTTTTAAAGGGGGGGCCCGGGGTTTTTCCCTCAGGCCCTTGAGACACCAAACAGCCCAAGTGGGCGTTACAAAACGCTCAATATCTGGCATCTCTGTCTCTCTCTCTCAACGAGCTGATGAGACACCAGAACAGTCCCAAGCTCGACGTTAACAGAACGCTCAATATCTGGCATCTGGCTTCTGAGACACCCGAACAATCCCCAGCTTGGTGTCTTCAGCAGGTGACTTGCATGGTGTCTCAAAGAGATACAGTTGCATCTTTCCACCAGATGGCGCTATATCGCATCAACTTCTGCGCCCTTCAATCAAACGCCAAGTTGCCAATATGGTGGCAAAAAATGATGCTGATTTGGCTCTATTGACAACATTTCACTATGTTTCCATTGAATCGCCATGATAATGTAAAGAATGGTGTTGCTTGTGAATATTACAATTTTAGCATAAAATAAATACAACAGTATTAATGTATTACTTATCCAGGTATAAATTATTTACACTGTTTTCAGAATTCATTACACAAAATTTGTAACAATATGTTATTTTTGCTGACAGATCGGTTGAAAGATGTTTTAAAAAAATCGACCCCGGGATTCAGGTGTTACAAAAAAAAAAACCTTTTTTATACTTTAACTTCATACTTAAACTTTAACGAATATGATTTTTTGTTCAGCTGGTATGAAAAAAATATTTTTCTTTGTTTGTTTTTTTGAATTGAGAAAAAAACTCTTTTAAAAAACTTTTTATTTCAATCTGTATTGTTCTTTTTTCCCCCCCCGGGCGAAGAACGGGTATCCAATGTTACAATAAAACTGAAAACATAATTAAAAATTTGTTAAATATTATTTTATTGAATAAAAAAAAACTTTTCTTTAAAAAAACTTAAAGGGGAAATACAAAAGGAATTCAAAAAAAGTAGTAAAATTTAAATTAAAAAATGACCCATTTGAATTAAAAATCGATATGTTCGAGATTTTAAGAAGTCTTATTTTAAATTTAAAACAGAATAAAAAGCCCCTATTTTATTTTCATTGAAACACTGCATTTTTGTATTTTAATATATTTAGAACAGATAACAACATGGTATGACATTTTATGGAAGTAGATTTTCAAAATTAAAATTATGAAGTCTGAACTGAACTAAACTTTTTGACGAACTCACATGTCTCAGTACATAGTACGTACAAAAAATAGAATGAATTTGCATGAATTTTGATTAAAAAAACTTTTCTACTTATACAGCTCCCACCGGAAAAAATGCTCTCTGTTCTTTTTTTTTTTTAATCTTATAACATATAAAACAAGAAATTAATCATAATAAACACCAAAATTAACTCTAATAAAAATACTAACAAAAAGACTTCAATAATAAAAGTATTAATAATAAATACTTTGTATATTTCACATTCCAATAAAATTCTGTCTTTTAGCTTCCACAAAAAATGTATTTTCGAAATTTTTTAAAATTTAAATATTAATACATGCAATCTAATTTGAAAATGTATTTATAATGATAACAAATTAATATTATTAAATTTATCTCTCTGCGGATTAAAAAAGAAGAGAAAACATTGAAATAAGTCACCCATAACTGAGTTAATTCCAAAAATATTTAGAAAAAAATTTGAAGAAAAATTCAATTACTAAATTTTCTTAATAAAATAACTAAAAATTATATCCTTTTTATGAATAAACAAGGAGAGAGAGAAAAATCTTAACAAACATATCTTTTATATATTGACTTAATATGATAATTCAGAAAAATAATTCACAATTAAGGTGAAAAACTAGGTGAATCATTTTTAAAAAATTCTAAATTCTAAGAGAACAAACTATAATTATATTTTTATATATGAATTAATAATTCATAGTAATATTTGTACTTTCTTCTACTCGAAAATGTGATCAATAGTTTGAGTGATCACAGTTGTTTCTGTCGTATCGTGAGAGCTCAATTCTTGATGGCGTGAAAGAGGATATGATGCCCACTTTCTTCAAGTGCGGCGTGAAGTTAAACGAAAAGGACGTCACCGACCAATTTCAAAAGGAAAAAAATTTGAAGATTTTTTTATTAAAATTTTAGAATAAAAATAATAATATTGAATATTTTTGGGCGTTTAAAAGGGGAAAAGAAAAATAAAAAAGGAACAAATACCTGTAACAAATTTAAAAAAAATAAGTAAAAAGTAAATAAACGAAACCAACTAAAAAATTTTAAGTAATCTTTAAAAATAAAAATTTCATGGTTTTTAATTAAATTTTTTTAAACCCTTTTTTTAAAAGGGAAAAAAAAAATTTAAATAAAAAAATATTAAAAGAAAATTTTTGGGGGAACAAACTTTTTTTAAAAAAAAGTGCATGTTACCTACCTACTCTAGTATTTTTTTCAATTTTTTAAAAGTTTTATTTAACTTCAAAGTAAAATTTTCGGGTGGAATTTGAATAATTTTGAAGCGTTTCAACCCTTGGAGTTGAAATTTTTTAATTTTATTTAAATTTTTAAATTTTTTTTGACATTTATTTCGTCCTTATTAAAAAAAATTTAATTAAAGTATTTTTTTGGGTGGAATCTTGAACTCAATTTTGAAGCTGATTTTCAACGAGAGCTAAATTTTTATACTGTTTAGTTGGGTGACAATGCATGTTTTATTATTTATTTTAATATCAATTGTTAAAAAATATTATTAAAATTCTTACCCATGTTAGAAGTTGACTTTACCTCTTACCACTAGCTCTCGTAGCCTACTGGTTAGAAAAGCTGACTTTAAAGTGAACTGCCGAGGGTTCGATTTCCAGGAGTTCGCAGTTTTTATATTTACTTTAAATAACTTTAATTTTCCTTCGAAAAGTATTTATCTTGATCAAATTTAAATTTCCTCGTTCTTCCTGTTTTTTACAAGCTTTTATTTAACTTACAATGTAAATTGTTCTGGCTGGAATCTTGCAACTTAGTTTTGAAGCTGATGCCTTCAAATGATTAAGCCAAAATTTGGTATACACGTTTAGTTTGGATGTCAATGCATGTTTTGACCATTTACATTCCGATGTTGCACTTAGTTAAAAAGATATTAATTAAAAAAATCTTACTCATATTATAAGCTTACTTTACCTCTTTCCACGATCCTTCATTGCCTATTAGTTAGAGAAAATGATTTCAAGTGAATTGGCCCGAATTCAATTTCCGAAAGCTCGCATTATTTAAAGTACTTTAATTTTAATTCAAAAATATTTTTTCTTGGTCAAATTTAAATTTCCACGTGCTTTCTTGTTTTTACAAGTTTTAACTTAACATGCAATGTAAAATGTTCTCATGGAATCTTTGCAACTCATTTTTGAAATTGATGTCTTCAACCGGTAGAGCTGAAATTTTTTTATACGTGTTTATATTGGATGACAATGCATGTTTTGATTAATTACATTCCGATATCGCCATTAGTTCAAAAGATATTAATTAAAAACATTTTACCCCTGTTTGCTTTTCTTCTCACCCATGTTAGAAGTTTACTTTACCTCTTTCCACGAGCCTTCGAGGCCTAATGGTTAGAGAAGCTGACTTCAAATGAATTGCCACAGGTTCGATTTCCGGGAGCTTTCAGTTCTTAAATTTACTTAAAATCACATTAATTTGCCTTTGAAAATGATTTCTCTTGATCAAATTTAAATTTCTACATTCTTCCCTGTTTTCAAAAGCTTTAATTTAACTTGCAATGAATAAATTTTGGATGGAATCTTGCAACTCAATTTTGAAAATGATGTCTTCGACCAAATGAGCTGAAA